GCGATGCACTTGTTCCTAGTAGCGAACCTTGTTACTAGTAGTAAGGCCAGGAGCCCCTAGTAGCGTTCTTTGTCCTAGTAGCTTCTTGCTCCTTCGAATTCCGATCTTCGTGGGACCGGCTTTGGGGGTACTTACGAGATTTCCTGGGTGCGCCGACTTACGCAGAGATGTGCAGCATATTGTGACATGTTGTGACTGTTCTGTGCACTGGATGGTCCAAAGTGTTGGCAAACCTCCACCGTGCTCGAAGTGTGTTTTTTCTTTCGCCCAACATCGAGCCCAAAAAGAATGAGCAGAAGACCCCACGGTCACAGGTTCGTTCGGTTTCACACCGATTGAAGCGTACCCACGATGACGGTGATGGTGGTGATTCCCGTTAGCCGGTTTTCATCAGGTGATTCGGTTAAGGTAAAAAGAGCCAATCGGAGGGCTGGCTTTGGAATTCGAGAGTTGCTTGAGGAGACTTCATGACTTGCAGCCACGAGTGTCCGATCAAGAGCATTGGCGACCTGCACATCCTTTTTGTGAAGATGATGAACGACATCGCCTCCTTGTTGGAGGCTAGTAGGGTGGAGACCATCGCTAGTAGGTTGGAGGCCATCGCTAGTAGGTTGGAGGCCATTGCTACTAGGTTGGAGGCCATCGCAAGTTGGAGGCCATTGCTACTAGGTTGGAGGCCATTGCTACTAGGTTGGAGGCCATTGCTACTAGGTTGGAGGCCATCGCTATTAGGTTGGAGGCCATTGCTACTAGGTTGGAGGCCATCACTATTAGGTTGGAGGCCATCGCTATTCGGTTGGTGGCCATTGCTACTAGGTTGGAGGCCATTGCTATTAGGTTGGAGGCCATCGCTATTAGGTTGGTGGCCATTGCTACTAGGTTGGAGGCCATTGCTACTACGTTGGAGTCCATCGCTATTAGGTTGGAGGCCTAGTAGCGTCCTTTTCTCCTAGTAGCGATGCCAGGAGCCCTTGTAGCTTCTTGCTCCTAGTAGCGATGCCAGGAGCCCCTAGTAGCTTCTTGTTACTAGCAGTAAGGCCAGGAGCCCCTAGTAGCGTCCTTTGCTCCTTGTAGCGATGCCAGGAGCCCCTAGTAGCTTCTTGCTCCTAGAAGCAAACTATATTAGACCTTTCGTCCTTTTCTGTTTTTTTGTTTCTAAGAGCGATCACCTCCAACCTAGTAGCGATGGCCTCCAACCTCGGGCATGCGCAAAGGCTGAGGAAGGTTTAGCGTGTTCAAGTTAGCCTGTCGATCTTAATTGCGGCTCTGCGGTTGAACCTTTTGCATTAAGTGAAGGAAATAATGGCGTTCAGAAGTTGGCTAAGTGATGATTTCTCACCTGGATCATGGAATTTGTTCAGGCCGCTGAAATCCTCAAGCTCCCAAGGCTAGCAGCCATGGAGGATTGGGCTCGAAATGTTGCAGAATCGGTCAGACTTGGCCCAAAATTCACCAGGTGAATTCATATCGAAGTGTTGGTTGTTATCCTGTTCCACACTGGATGTCGCTTGACGGGTCCTCGCGATTGGGTCCGAAGTCCTGCCTTTCCACGACCTCGGAGCACCTTTCGGAGAAAGCAGATCAAGCGATGAAAGCCACTTTAAAGGCAGACAAACCATAGCGATGGCCTCCAACCTACTAGCGATGGCAGACAAACCATAGCGATGGCCTCCAACCGTCCAACCTAGAAGCGGCCTCCAACCTAAAGGCAAGCCATGCCAAGCCGGTGATTGATGTTGGTCAAGGAAAGAGTCCAGAAACTACACGTTGTTGAAGCCTTCAGAGTACCAACCCTGCCGCGACATTTGATGTGTTGGAGATTGGCCTGTCGGATGTGCTTCATTCTTGCAAGTTTGACTGGCGGGTTTGGGTTGAATCCTTTGATATGGGACAGAAAAAAACACCTTCACATCCTTTCTTTTTTGGCGGCTCTTTATTCATCCGATCTCTATTTTCTGCAGATGGAGAGATCGATGGACATCGCTGCGGTTTGTGAGGGTTTTCACGCCTTGAGAAAACCAGAACGATCTTGATAGCCACACCGGAGCAACAGGATCCAATTTCCAAACCGAACTCGGACAACCCGGAGGTTCAGATTTCCCAACAACGGATCGTTGAAGGATGTTCAGCTACTACCTGGTGAACCATGGTGAACCTGTTTGGGCCGATCCAGTTCACCAATGCGTCACCGCGGCGATGTTTTGGCCCAGACGCCACCGTTTTTTGGATCCGAGATCCCCTCGGAGCACGGGTTTGTTGAGATGCGCGCGAGAACTGCCGCCAAGATGCCGATGAGAAACTTTGACTTGTGACTTGGCAAGAGAAAGACAAGACAAGACAGAAAAAAGGGAAGCCTAAGAGCGATGGCCTCCAACGTCAAGAGCAATGGCCCCAACAATTCTTTAGTGGCAAGGACTTACATGTTGGCACTTCAAATATGAACACCACCAGGTCGTGTATTAGAATAGGGATGAATGGGAAGGCCCGTGAAGACCCTTTGGTCCAACGAAAAGTAGGCAAAAGCCCTTCAGCGGTGTCCCACATGGTTTGGTCTAAAGTAATCACACGCCGTTGTTTATTGGAGTCACCATTGGGTGTTCTTTTCTTCCGTGAATCTTCTTCCACTTGGAAGGGCTTCCGGGAGGGGTTCTTTCTGGACCTCCTTTGCTCCCTCTTTCACGAACCGACGGCCGATCGGTTCTTTCTGGTCAGGCGGGAGGAGTTGAAAGCTACAGCAGATCGGCGCAAGCCAACACAGGCATTGAAGCGTTTGTTCAGCTGGCGATGTTCCCACGGCTGGATGGTCTTGATTCCAACCATGAACAAAATGTAGAGAGACAAGAAGGAGATGAAGTGAAAGCAGAGAGTGGATCCGTATAACTAGATGGAAAAGTGCTCCAATACATATGTTTCAAGGGGCATTTGCTTATCTATTTTGGGTTGGCGCCGTTTTGTTGTGCCGTTTGTGAGTTTGTACTCTCCAAAAGAGTTTATAGAGCTGCCCTGGCTCCTCCCAAACAGATGTAAGAAATCAGATTCCTTTTGAAGACCTCACATGGCAAGGGTCGCTCCTGCCATCCACATCGAGGCTTCTACGAATCGATCCCTTGAGCCGTTCGTAGCGCAGGAACGATCTGCCATCATCGGGCACAAGAGCACCACAGGTGGAGTGGGAGACATTGCTGCACGATTGGCAGAAATGCTTCTTGGCATATGTTTGCGACAGATACAAACAAATCATATTTCTTCTCCGTTTGCTTCTCAGGACCCCAAACCTCTAGCGTCGGGCCACGCTCGCTCGCGCGGACCGGAAGCCGAGGTTTCCTGCCCTTCCAGCTGATACCGTCCAGGCCAAGGGCCCAAGGACTTGTATGTAGGACAAGGACAAGCACAAACAATGGACAAGGCTGGACAAGAACACATATAATAGCAAAGGCCTCCAACCTAATGGCGATGGCCTCCTACTGTGATGTCAGTGACAGAGGCTGAAGAGCCGTCGCATTTCAGGGCAACGGAACTGGTTGGAACAACGCCCCGAGTAACGTGAGGTCATTTCTGGGGCTTTGACACTCATGAGACCCCGTTGCTATGTCCAACCTACTAGTGATGGCCTCCAACCTACTAGTCATTAGCTTCTTGTTACTAGTAGCTACTTACTCCTAGTAGTACGGCCAGGAGCCCCGAACGTAGCGTTCTTGTTCCGTTCATAGCAATGCCCTTTGCTCCGTTCGTAGCGTCCTTGAGTCCTAGTAGGGCCATCATTGGACTCCTTGAGACAACGGCTTTGCAGGGCGCCGTCTCCCAGCTCTTCCGCAGCAATGCCGAGTGTTCGCCGCTCGTCCGCAGCCTGTGCCGAGTGTTCGTCCACCAGGCCGCCTGGAAGCACCGGGGAAGTAGCCCCGTTCGTCGCGTCCGAACGCTCCTGGTGCGGTTTGGGCATCGGCCCAATGAGTCGGTTTGGTCGGATGATGGGGTGGAGAAGAACGGGCGAAGACGTTTCGAGGTGTCAGATGCAATTTGTGTAAGAAATGTCGAAGATGAATGAAGATGTCGAGGAACCTTGGAGGCCATCGCTATTGGGTTGGAGGCCAATGGCTACTAGGTTCCTGTTGCTGTTTGGGGTTCGCGTCACCTGAGGCGGCAGCAATTGGCAGACATGTCATTAGCTGCGCTGCTGGAAATGTCGAGCACCGGACCCCAGGCGAGGCCTACTCGTCACGCGCCCTTCGTCCCGAAAGTCCCAATGGAGTCGCTGGCTGAAACCCGGTGTGAACACCGGTGCTCGATGAGTTGACCACACAAGATAGTGACTTCATAAAGTGAGTTCATGAGTTGACCACCTTTTGAGAGTTGAGAACTTCATGTTAGATCAATGGAGTCAATGTTGATCTACCATTTGCTCTAGTTTGCCTTCATAAAAAGTGAGTTCATCGAAGTTGTTCGTTCCGCGCCTTCTCAAACTCCTTGAAGTGTTTGAGTCGTTTGATCAGGCCGTGACCAGCTTTGAGCCAGTGTGCACATCGGATTGTGTGGAAAACGAAGCGGAGGCAGGACTCAGAGTTCAAGCTCGGCTTCAAATTGGAGCCGAACAAGACGGAACAAAGATCAGTAGAGGACCACACGTACAGTACATCCAGCTGTTCTTTGAGTGAGGAGATTGCACCCAAAGGAGATATACAACAAAAGTACAGACCTGCAAGATTTGTGCCTGCTGATTTGCAAGATGCGCAGGCCAACCGACAGGTGGTCATAGAGGCGCCCCGCTGTTTTCAGGGAAACGAAGGGCTCTTACAAGCGGCTGCTTCTTTCTTCCACAGTGTCCTCAGTGGCCGCAGGAAGCACATGAGGAGGCTGATGACATTTTGGATGGCTTGCTGGCAGATCTCTTCGTTTGATGCCCAGTTCTTGGGAAGTTCTTTGTTGCAACGTGATGTCCTTATTTCTCTGCCCGGTTTGGCGAACGTTGCTTTTTTATAAAGTCCCGTGGCGTCTCCAGGGCCTCCCTGACGATGAGATGAAAGTCTGTGCCTGGTCTCTCAGATATCCGACAGATTGAAAGCTACAAGAGCAGCATGGCGCTTTCGGCACATGTAGTTTTTGTAGAGAATTGCTGAAGAGCCACACTTGAAGCATTTTTGTTTTCTGGAGGTCAAGACCTTGTGTGGCATTCTGTCACGTGTTGTTGAGCAACCGTCTGAGTCCCTTGGCCCATTGAGATCAGTCGTTGTGCTCAATGTTCTTCACACACTTGCCAAACTTGCCCTTATTCCCCCATGGATGACTAATTAACTTCATCTATTAAATCTATTATGTAAATTATGTCTATGTTTCTTTTCAAGCAACCAATGTTCTCCTTGTTTGTTGGAGGGAGCGTGCTTCAATTGGCTTGGTTAGCGCATTGTATCGCGAACACGGGACGTTGATGGATTCATGAAGCCCGAAACAAACATCCAAGTGCATGGCACCCAGAAGAAGATGTGCCGAACAAGAAGATGCCGGGTGGACCCAGACAAGGGCATCGCTACTAGTGACAAGGACGTCACTGTTAGAAACAAGGGCATCGCTGATAGTAGCAAGAAGCTACTAGTAGCAAGGGCATTACTACTAGCAGCAACAGTCCATCCCGGACAGTCCGAGGGTCGAAGCTCTGATTTTTGTCACACAGCGAATCCCGTCACTCGATCCAAGACAACGCACGAGTTGTTGCAAATGGCACGAACGTTGGCTGTAGCAAGCATTGGAAGAAACAGACCTTTGCAACCGATTGAAGTGTTATTGACAGAAGGAGCCCCGAGCCAGCAATATGGGGACAAAGGACAAGCTCAATCGTCAGCGTTCCAGCATGCAGAATGACAGTCATGGTCATACATACACAGTGCCCTCGCTTCATGTTAAATCTTTCAGCGGACGACTTTGGAAGGGAAGGTCTCCAAAGATGCGCTGTACCCGCGACCATCTACAAAGAATACAGAACTATCCTTGCATACTAGTAGAGATGCACTTGCTACTAGTAGCTTAAAGGATTTTGTTCAATCACTTCATGCCAAAGTTCAGACAGTTGCGGAAGAGCAACGCACGATTTGCAGCAGAGGCCCTGGCCCCAGTCGACTTCTTCACGTGGGTGTGCAGCGTCCAAGGAAGGAAGTGTTTTTCGCCTCGCTACTAGTAGTAACAAGGGCATTACTACTAGTATCGAGAAGCTACTAGTAGCGATGCCCTTGTTACTAGAAGCGATGCACTTGCTAGTTAGAGAGTTTGAGACTGCGCTGCGTCCAAGAGAGAGCAGAGACTGCTGGGCTATCAATGCGGGCCGTGGGCCGTGGATCGTTTCAGAAGAATCCCTTCTACGCAGTTCACGGTGTCGTCGAAGATGAGTCTCGTTGGAAGAGTTAGGTGGGCTGCCACCCCCAAGCGCTTGCCTTGATGCTCTTACCTCAGAAGTGTCGCAATGGGCACCATCTAATGGCTGACGTGTGGGCCTCTTTACAAAATTATCATGGCAAGAAGCACTGAAGAGGTTTTGATTGAAAGAGTCGGTCTGATGCAAGTGTTTACGTTTACATTGTCGGGATTGAACCCAAAGCTGCAGCACAAGGTGACAAGATCTGACACACATCAACGCTTTCGACGTCCTTTCTTTCTGTTTTTCTTTCTTTAGTAGCGATGGCCTCCAACCTAGTAGTGATTGCCTCCAACCTAATAGCAAACTATATTAGACATTCACATGCTTTGGTGCATTGAATTCTTCACATCATTTTCGCCTCAAGGTCTTACGCCGGTTTTGAAGAAGATGCTGAGGCGTCGGCGTCAGGGACGCGGAAGACGCGGAAACCGTGTCCCATGTTCACTCGAAGACCGACGCAGCCCTCCAGAGAAAGGCCTTTACTGTTGGAGTGAAAACAGTGTTGTATTGAAATAGGGAGGGGTGCCTCCAGTGTTGTATTTCAATACAAAAAAAAACACGGTGGTATTGAAATAGGGAGACCTCCCAACGGGCTCAGGGTCTTGTGTTTTTTGGGTCTTCCCAGTGGTCCTTGAGAGGGGTCTCCCTAGTAGGAACCTAATAGCCGTGGCCTCCACCCTAAAAGCGATGGCCTCCAACCTGGAGACTTCCAAATGTGAGGTGATCCATGGGTTTGCCTTTGGACCGGTGTAACCTTCGTGTTCGGGTCTTTGGGAAGACATGTTGAACGGACGGTCCATATTGAACCTTGGCTCCAAAATCAGATTCTCCCAAAATATCCACAACTCGATTGTACCTATCTTTGATGTCATTTGGTGTGCCATTGTTCCGCTGGTTGAAATGGCAATCTGGCGCTCCTTTCGGTGTGGAGGCGACGATGATCTTCAAAGGAGATCCGACTCGTGAGCCCTTCAAGCGAGTTCATGAGGCGAAGGGTCAGACCGGTCAGGGGACATCTGAGGACGGTGATCCACGGTCTTCTTTTGTGGTCCTTGTTGGTTGGAAACCCGGGTTGACCAAGAAGATGCTACAGATTGCATATCAATGCTGTCTAGTTGCAAGCAACGAGATGGCGTGTCATCAACAAGATGGCTTTCTTGTTGGTTTTGAGACCTTGAGTTCTAGCTGCATGTGCCGATCTTTCCTGAGCAGAATACACGATATACATCGCTTGAGGCTCTGCAAGAAGCTGGGGAGACCTTGTCTCCCAAAGCCGCTGAGGCAAGCTGAAGATGACAGAAAACGACCTGAGATGTGTGTGGATTTACATGAAACGACCTGATTTGTCCAAACAGCAGGCCACTAGCAGTAAGCCTGCTCGTGCTGCTCCTCAAGTTGCAAGTGGCGGCTATCCTGCTCCAGCTTGCAGGAGCTGATGTTGAAGAATCACAAGAATAGTTGGGTGACCATTACTACTGGTAGCAAGGACGCTACTAGGGGCTCCTGGCATCGCTACTAGTAGCTCCTGGCAATACTACTAGGAGCAAGGACGCTACTTAGTAATTGTTTCAGATATGTTTCTTTTTTCCAACCTTTACTTGAGATGACTGGTCCCACTGACTAATATTTCAATTGAGTTGAAGCCACCAACCCGACAAGATTGTTTTTTTCTTTAGACTGTTAGACCGTTCTTCCTTTTTAAAGTCTTTAGTCATTTAAAGTCATCACTGGGCACTTCAAGGTGCCAAATTTGCAGTTCCAGCAGATCAGTATTGAACGATGTATGTATTCAATTGGAAGGAGAGATGCCAGACGGCAGCACATTGCAGCCCTCACTGAGATGCGCCTCAAGGCTAGGATCCTGTGGCGATATGATTTGCAAAGAGCAAAGATGCAAAATTGGCAGGATCTTGCCAACGATTGCCCATTGCTGGCTGACATGTCACAAGTGAATAAAGTGGTGTATTTTTCTGTAATATACATCGCTAAATGGATCCCCACGATCTGCCTGCATTGTTTTGCAGGACCCGCGTGGCTTCCAAGAAGCACGGAGAAGCTCCCGCGGCAACCGTGGCGTGGGTGGTACGTTGGCAAGGCCAAGTACTGCCTCTCCAGCTGCCCCTTCCCGAAGAGCTCAGGCGAAGGGATCAGATATGCGGGATCCAAATCCATCTATGGAAGAGTTATTTGCATGGAGTCAACTATGGGGTAAATGAACGCAACTATTCTATTGTGCGTTCTTTTGGTCTCAAGACGGTCGTTGCTTGAATCTACACAGTCCACCAACGATGGGTCGGTTGATGACTTCAACTCTGGTCATGGTTGACCGCCTGTGATTTGGAAGGTCATGTCCGACAAAGCGAGTCCATAAGCAGATCATTCGACCAAAAAAAGCACACATGGATTAGCATCTACTCTATATAACCCTTTCCCCGGATCCACGAAAAAGAGACCTCTCAGAGCGATGACCTCCAACCTTCGTGCCACTATCTATTTGGGGATCACTATAATTTAATTCTTTCCCCAATCATTCTCCCCAATCCAATCCTTCTTCGCCAGCACTTCACCCTGAGCGATTTGGAGAAGATGCGAGTGCAGGAGGAAATTGCTGGGATGCCCAGCTATGCGGATGAGTGCGCCATATTTTCCTGCGCAGCAAGTGACAGCTGCAAGTGTGGCTGTTGATGGCCTGGTTTCAGGTACCGGCTTTCGCATCAGTCAGCACCAGCAACGAACTATTCCACGCTGGTCGCACGGAGCTATGTGAAAGACTTAACACTTGCCTTCTGACTGTCGTGACATGTTGCTGTTTATGACAAGAAGAACAGGTTATTCATGTTACTTTGACGTGATTAGCGTTATTTCTACAACACGTGGAAGAAGAATTCTAATAGCTTCTTGTTACTACTAGCGATGTACTTGTTACTAGTAGCGATGCACTTGTTACTAGTAGCGATACACGTGGAAGAAGAATTGGAAGATCCAGGGCATGTTGTGTTAGGCGCCATCGCCCGGTTCAGGACCCGGAACTCATCGCCCGACAGGCGCTTGATGGTACCAATCGCTACCGTGCATCAAAGGCGCAGAGAAAAAAGAGATGCGGCTTCAAGATCTTCAACTCCAACCAACTAAACTTCATGAGAAGATCTGAGATCGTATGGTTTCTGGGTGATTTGCAGAGATGTCTGACATGGTTTTTACATGTCTTGCTTGCTCTTCAGGGACTTCCTCCACTGCGATGGAACGACGGAATTGCCCGGATCGCCCGAGATCATGCTGAGCAAATGGCCTCCGGTGCCGCTCCCTTCAGTCGCTGGGCCGAAGAACGGTTCTCCGAACCTTCGAACTGCGGTTCAGGTCCGGCCGGAACCGAGACCAGCGACGGGCCGTTTCCACCATGTGTCGATTTGGGTCCTAGTAGATTCCTTTGCTAGTAGGAACAAGTGCCTTACTAGTAGTAACAGGTGCCTTACTAGTAGTAACAAGAAGCTAGTAATTACAATTCTAATTAAATTCTTGTTACTAGTAAGGCACTTGTTACTACTAGCATGGCACTTGTTCCTAGTAGGACCAAAGGAATGTTCGGGTGGTACACCGAATTGGGCAGTTTCACCTGAGGCCATGATGGAGTAGATCAACGATTTCGTGCATATCCAGTGGCACATCAATCTGCAGCAGAGAATTTGGTTTGGACTCCCAGATGTCAACAGACTTGGGGTGCTTGATCTTTCTTGAGAGTTTCATTTGTATTATGTTTATTATTATTGTTATTGTGTTTCTTTTTTAACATGTTCAGCCCTCTCCTGCATCATCAAGTAGGCACCTACTTAGTCAAGTAAGGGCGCTAGCTACTAGTAACAGGATGCAGGATAGCTCACGCTTCTTCAAGGAAGCGCTCGCACTAATGATTTGGTCTGATTTGGTTCCAGGAAACTTAACTTAGACTTAGCATAGCCTTGCTCCTTGGCCAGGCACTCAACAATGGCATCGCCGATGTTGCTGGAGCTGCTGTGAATGGTTGGATCAATTCTCCGGGACATGAAAGGACAGAAGCCACATGGCAGTGGCGGAGGCATTCGCGAGTTCTGCTTCTGCTCAGAAGCCAAAGTTGTTGAAATTTGCGAGCTTATTCACCATAATTGGACCATAATCTACTAGCGATGGCCTCCAACCTACTTATTTCATCATAAAGAAAGGACAGTGCATTTCGGTTTGCATTTCAAGATCCCCTTTCGAGCAATGATTGAAGGAATCTGAGCGGCCGTTTCAACCTTTGTGGCATTGGTGCGGCTCGTGCATCCAATGGTACGTTTTACCTGACACAGCTCTTTGCAGCTACCTGAGACCGCGGAGGTCTTTCTTTTCCAAGCCGGTCAAAGCCTCGTGCCCGGTGACCAGTGCGGGACAACAAGGCAACTGACCAGGGTAGGATGTGTCATGTGTTTGTGTGAAACGATGGTTTTGAAAGTTGTCCATCCAGGAGGGAAGAGGGAAAACTCTCACCTCCATCCTGTAGCACCACGTCGTCCGAAGTCTGTAAAGCTCCTGGGCTTGCTGGGAGAAGTTCGTTGTCTGCTTGGACAACTCGCCCAAAGTCGCGATTGTGTGTACAGGTCCATGATTGTGTGCGTCGAGGGCAAGCGAACAGCATGTGACGGTGTAGAAAGGGGCGGAGCATGGCGAAGCTGAAAGGATAGCCACACAATTCACATTGACGGTTGATTCTCTTTCACTAAAAAATAAATCTGACAGTTAAACCAAAACTCTCCCTTCTGGCCGGTCATTTCGGACACCCAGCTCCTGGGAGCGAGACACGTGGACACCGCTGTTCGCTCGCTGTTCGCCGCGTGGCAGGAGCTCGCTCACGACGTAGGCGCGTAGCTCACGGTGGAGTTCGTTGGACGTGACAAGACAGGGAGGCTGGACATGTTGAGGTCTACCTGGTCGTTGGTGTTTGGGAATCCAAACATGGAGGTCCTCCTTTGTTGTTGGGGAGGTATGTCTTTGTCCTTATAAGTGCTTCCTGAACATGTCAAATGTCTTATTGTAAATTGGCACGTATATCTTAATTTGTTACTCATATGACTCCCCCCTAGGCTTCCTGGCCCACCCTTAATTCAATAGCCTGAATCCCGAATCACCATTGTTTCACTATAAGGACTTTACACTATAAAACCAGGTCTGTTCCATTCTTGTCGCTCGGTCCCAGAAGTCGAGCTTTGACTGGGAAGGGCAGTCTTCGCTGGTTCGATGGCGAACAGGCTCCGGAGGAACAAGCGAACAGTCCGTTCTTTTTGGATCAAGACCTCTCGGAAGCTACTAGAAACAAGTGCCACGCTAGTAGTAACAAGTGCCACGCTAGTAGTAACAGGTGCCACGCTACTAGAAACAAGTGCCTGACCTCTCAGAAAGGGCAGAGACGCCAAGATGGGGTCTGGTGGAAGTATCTCCCGAAGAACTCTGAGCGAAGACGAGGAGAGGGAGGAACTGGAGGCGCAGTTGGGAATCATTCATGCGCTAGGTGATGGGGTCGCCTGTTCCATGGTTCATGGATCGTTAGGGATTAGTCCCACCAAAAACCCACCCAAAATCGTACTGTATTGCTACCCCTCTTCTTCCATCTTCCTTTCTTGGATGGAGGCCATTGCCATTAGGAACGAGTAACAAGGGCATTCCTGCTAGCAAGAATCTACTAGCAAGAATCGGCCATCGCTGCCATCGCTCGGTGCACTGAACTTGGCTCGTTTTGGCGAGCCAAACCAGGTGTCCATGAGTGAGCTCTTTGGTGACGTGGCGAGCTATCCATTCCACACCTCGAGTCGAGACGATCGAGACGAGGAATCCACCCCGAGGCACCCCCAGGCAGCGATGGGCGCATCGTCCTGTCGTTTTCGTCCAGCTGAACGAGCTGAGTCCGGTGGTTTTGGGGGTTGATGAAGTCTAGTTTGTGCTTATATATATATAACCTGCCACTTCGATGCTTTAACTTTGCTTCATAGCAAGTGCTGGAATGTCTCTTATGGAGACAACCCATGGTTTCAGGAAAGTGTGTTGTGACGGCAAACGTGCTGTCTTTGTAGTTCCGACGAAGCCAACTCAACGGACCCTGCACTCTGACGAAGCGCATCACATGGAAGAGGAACATGGTAGACTCTATATATCCATACTACTGTATACTCCATATATACTACTGTATATATATATATACTCCATATATACTATATATAATCCATGTGTTTCCAATACAAACAGCGTTTAGAAGAACGCCTAAACCAAATTGATCATCTTCCAATCGCCCACGACCAGACCAAACAACTGATGGTCTTTTCACCCAACTGACGGGCCTGTGTTCCACAGCCGAGCGATGGCCTCCACCAGGCACCTGAGCATCGGCTTCCCTTCCGGGCTCAACGGGTCCAAGCCTATGACGCTGATGCCTGGAAACGGCGCTTCCACCACATGCACCTGTGGCCAGCCGCTCGGCGGTAGCCATCCGCAGACCGAGATGGCGGAGTCGACCGTCGGTGGAACTGATAGATCTCAGGTCTTTAGGACTTCCCTGCAGATTTTACGAACAGAACCCCAAAACCATCCAAACCACTGGGTTGTAAAGGAAAATGGTCTTCCACATGTCAGAAACAACGGAGATTGCAGATCCAAAAAACTCATCGAACTGATTTGTGTCATATTTGGTGTACAGAAAGACGAAGTGATTTGACCCAAGAAAGATCATTGCTACAAGCTCCTGCATGATGGGGTTTAAACACTACCGTTGTGGTCGTGATTCCAGCACGACCCTTGCACTGCCCACCGATGGCTCTCGGAAATTTACGGAACGATTCAAGAACAGCCGGACAAGAAGATTTGTGGCCGTAGGCAATCTTGCCAGAAAATCCACACATGGAGGAATGTGATATGATAAAATGCAGGGTAGAACGGTTGAACGGTTGAACCATGTCCAAACCACCCTCTATTACCCCAGTGATGAACCCCCACTTCCTTGCCCGCCACTTCCTCAGAACTCGCCATTCCGAAGCCGATCTTTCTGAGGAATCCTGAAGAACTAGCAGCACAAACCCCAGAGAAACAGGAGAGGAGACTGCGGTTTTTCACGGAGTCGTCTGAGATACTGGCGACAGCCGGCTGTGTTTCGACTTTGGTCACAAGGGGTATCCGGAGATGAAAACAGGTTCTATCTCAGGATCCCATTGTAATGGTCCACCGCACCTTCTCTCTTGTGATGACATCGCCAGGGTTCTTCACTGATCCATAGAATTCACTTGTCCGAACTGGTCCTGTGATATGATCAGCGAAAGCGAAGCTCTTGGAACTGTGAAGAGAAGCCCATGGACTGTCTAATGCTTTTCCGGATTGAAGCAGCAGTTGCCAACTTTGGTAGTGGTCTGGCAGACTGCTCCAAGTGGAACAAGATCGCCTTCCGTGGTCCCACAGGTGAGTTTCTCTTTGTGATCTGACAACACGGTTTGTTCAGTACAGCAATGCAGTTCGAGAAACAGACACAGCATGTGTTCAGTTTTCAGTATGAATCGCATGGAAGGCGGCCGATATATTCAAATTCCATGTCATATGGTCCCTGGAAAAAGGGTGTTGGAGACAACTGTAGGACCACTGTCAGACTTGTAGGACACCGATTGATTTGGGTGACATCATTTGAGCCCAAGAAAGTGTGCTGCTGTGACGGACTTGGTTTGTGAGTCCGATTCGTGCGCGAAAGGGTGAAAAACAAAGGCTGAGCATGGCTGAGCTGAAGAGTGCCAATACAAAA